TGTGTTTAGGGGAATATTCTAAAATATTTATTTGAAATGAATTTTATTTTCATTTTCATAATTATTGTGGCTCTATACTCAATACCACTCTGATTTTGCTCCACTGAGATTTGAATAATGTCTAGTAAAATAACTGACACAATATAAAATTAAAATCTAAAAGAGAAAGAGACACATAATTCACATAACAAAAAACATAAGTACAAGTAAAGTAACTTGTGGTGACTTTCAAGGTTCACAATCTCATATCCAGATTCCTGTGCCCTATACTGCTGAAAGAAAAGGAAATCTTCATCTAACTTAGTCTAGGTGATTTTTTTAGGTCCCAGATTATGGATTTAGAGAAAATTCAAAGGATCAAATCTTTATATTGCAGAAATTTACCACTAAACAGAAATTTTCAATAAAATAATTTACTTTTTTAGAAAAAGAAAGTATCTGTCAGGAAATTTTTCTCTAATACCAGAAAATAGATGGATTACAACAAAATTTCTAAATGGAGAAATGACTGTCAATCAACATTTTCTTATGCTGCATGTTAAGACATTAAGAATATATTTCATATAAATTGAAATGAAGGTTATATTAGTAGCATTTTTAACAGAAGATTCCTTAGTAAAAAATCATTTTGTAGAGTTTCCTGGAAATTACTTATTAAATTAATAGCTACAGATAGATACTGAGTGGTGCTGAACAATCACAACTCAAGAGAGTTTCCATCCAGCATCCAGAGAAATAGACAGAACAACAAAGTTAAGGATTTATTGGGGGTTTGTTGTTGTTTGTTTGATTGATTGGTTGATTTTGTTCTTTTCTCTTTTGCATTTTATTTTAATTTATTTTTTTGAGATAGAGTTTCATGTTGTCAAGGCTGGCCTCAAAATTGTGATCTGCCTCCCTCAGCCTTCCAAGTGCTAGGATTACAGACATGGACCACCATCCCCAGCAAAGGTTTATTATAAAAAGTAGAATTACACCAAACTATAATGAAAATCTAGAAACAAATGGTAGATGGTGATGATGTTTGCTAACAACTACCTTAATTTTTACAACCACGAGATTTCAACTGTTTTAGCAACTCCACATCAGCAACTCAATGTCACCCATAAATCTCTAAATAAAATTAATTCAATACCAAATAAATGTTGCTTAACAAAAAGGTTTTCATGATTCACATTTAGAAATTCAAAAAACAAATGTCTGCTTCAAAGCAAGATGTTCAAGATAAATTTTTTTAATCCAGAACGTTTCTAGAAAATGAAAAGCTGTCAACAAATGTAAGATAGGAAGTAATAAACTCATTCAATAACTAAACAATTATATCAATGAATAAAATCTACAAAAAAACCTACCTCCCCAGAGGAGTCCAAAACAACCGGTAGCTCAGCTTCCCCGTCTATAGATACAGGACATGGAGGTAGGCTAGGGCTGAAGGCCATGAGGTCCATCTTGGGCCGGCCCTCCCCGGAGCACACCCTCTGCCCCCTCTGCTGAGAGTTGGACCAGCTCCCCACAGTGCTCAAGCACACCAACGAGGGCTTCCCAGGCCTGCACACGCCCTCCGTGGGCACCGCTGAGCAACGCAGCGCCGTGTACAGCAGCAGCGTGAGCACCAACAGGCTGGACACCGCGCAGATGGCGATGATCAAGTACACGTTCACATCCACTACCGCCTTCTCAGAGCCCGAGATGCTCACAGATGTCCGCGAGGAGACCTTTGGCGCCTGCCCGCTCTCCACCAGTAACACCAGCACAGTGGCGGTGGTCGTCAGTGCAGGCTCCCCGTGGTCCTTCACCAGCACCAGCAGGCGCTGGCGCGGTGCCTCCTCCTCATCCAGGGCGCGCGTCGTGCTGATCTCGCCCGTGTATTGCCCCACGCGGAACAGGCTTCGCGCACTGCCGGGTCCAGGCAGCAACTCATAGGACAACCACGCGTTGTAGCCAGAGTCCGCATCCACCGCGCGAACCTTCGCCACCACTTGACCTGCACCCACTGAACGCGACACCAATTCACCCACCGCGTGTCCCTCGCTGCCCGCGCCGACTGCCAGCAGCGCGGGCGTGTTGTCATTCTCATCCAGCACAAACACCTGCAGAGTCACGTTGCTACCCAGGGCAGGCACACCAGAGTCCCGCGCGCTCACCTGGAACTGCAGCAG